AATCCCACAGGGATCAATGAACGCTTTTCATTCCACTAATTTATTCATGTTTTTCTCGTTGCCATGCACCCACCAATAACGTAGCTCCATTTTCTGCCTTTAAAAGCACACACAACCCACAATTCCTCTATTCGCTCCGACGAAGGGCTAACGCTCGAAACGTCAGCTTTTGTAATCATTACGGTGGCCAATTTACCATTTCAACTTTGTTGATATATCCAAATTATTTCGTTACTCCCACCGACGCAGCCCCAAACATTTTCTTTCGAAACTATCAGCCTTTATTCATCTGTATAAATATAGATGTCTACTCTACTCTATGGGATGGGATGGGTGGGTTAGGATTGATTGTAAAGCGCTCTTGATCTGTCATTGCAAATAGCGCTCTATAAGTGATAAACTGTAATTGTAAATTGTAATTGTAATAATTTGGTAACAAACAAGGAGGTGCTTTGAAAACGAATTCATCTTTAAAATTTTCCGGGCCGCAGGTGAAAAGGAGCGCGAGTCATAGCAGGATAGATGATGGTATAGCGACATTCTACAGACAAACAACCCTCTTTCAAAATTCTTGCAATTATGGGCTTGCAGAAACAGGAAGACCCAAGAAAAAAGCAATGAGCATGATGGTTACTGAGAAACTGGAAACTTAGAATCAAAACCATGATGGTACTAAAGCATTTCTTATAACGGCTAAACAATAATTAATCATCAACGAGTTTTGTGGGATAGTCTTGGAGAGAGATTATGTTTACAGCGTTATGTTCACTCAATTCCTTGATGATCTTAAACCAGATTCTATAAATTGTGTAGCTCTTTTGGTTGGTAAACAAACAGACAGTCTTACCTCACGATAGATTGACTGTTTTTCCTTCTTCCGACATTTACGGAAGCAATAAATTGGGATGTAAAAGGGTGACAAAGAATAATATACAAGGTTGAAAGGTACAGGTATGGAGTTTCCCTCGTTCATGTAGTCCAGCCAAATTTGAGTAGATGTTAATTTCCACTCTTCATCCTTCGAAATAAAAAAGGTTAAGTCAAAATAATATATTAACGAAATGCAATCAACACGCTAATGACTAGATTTGCTCACAAGTCGCGCTTTTAAGCGCGTAGCGCGAGCGCGAAGCGCGAGCCGAGTAGCGAGCGCGAGTCGAGCTGAGCGAGCTGTAGCGAGTCCTATCACACCAGAACAGAAAACCAAGCGAACGACTTTGAGAAAGTCTAGCTAATGAAAGCCATTTCAAACCAAGTCTTAAAGGTGTATTGTTTACATCGCAGTCTTAGGAGGGTATAAAATGCACAATGCAAATCTAACAAATTAGAGCTTCCAAAGATTAGGAGACCGTTCAGGACACGTTTTGGAAAGGACTGGAAAAGTTTTAATGCGGCTAACTCTGTCTCCACTTATCATGATACTTTCTTGCCTTGAAATGGTTATAGGTCTCTTATTTTTCGAATGGCTGAACATGCTCACAAACACTTACCGTAATCGTTTCATATGAGTTGTTCATCATGGCGATCAGCATGTTTAAAGCAACCATACTGACACAAACTACGTATGCTATCAAGAAAATGCGACCAAAAACAGATATAAGAGAAAATGCAGGATCATCTACGAGTATTTTGTCCTCATCCACGTTGCCAAATAACAGCCAAATTAGCCCATAGGCTGTTAAGTCATGCCTAAAAGACAAAGCGAAAAAAAGTATTTATTAGCGGAAGAGTTTAATATATGCTTACATTGCTCTACGTTAAATGAGGATCATCTCTTATAAGATGTACCACATATACGTTTCTAGGGTCACGGATTTTATACTACAATCCCTTTTATCTGCACTGCCTTAGCCCATCTATCCTTTAATCATTTCATCCAAGGCGTCGACTGTCTATCTGTCTCTTGCTCTATCTACCTTCTTACATTAGTCTTTCTTTTGTCTGTCTCTCTTTCTCAACTTTCGTGATTCTGCCACGGAGAAAAATTACTAACTTGGCATAAGGATGATCTTCCGCGTAGGTACTGTTGCCAAGTTCTCGGCTTAGTTTCACTTGCGAGGAGACATAATACGCGTACACTTTTACCACACCGGCAGCAAAAGCGAGGAAGAGCATAATAAAGATCAAAAGAAACCTCATGACATCCTTCACCATTCTGAACAGGGACAACTGCAAGCGGCCAAGAGTTGAGTTGGTCTGAAACACGTAGGTAAAATGGAAGAATTCCATCACAGTGGCCGTTGCGTACAAGACATCAGCCACAGTAAATATTACTTTTCTTGGTTCCCATTCTCCATAAATCTCCCATGCAATTAGCCACACCGAGTAAGACACCAAGAAAGTTGAGAGGGTCACCACATGCATCACGTTCCACCATTTTGAGAAGTAGAAGGTGGTTCCTTGCTTATAAGCTCCGACGATATCTCGTAAGGAAAGGCCAAGGACAAAGACAAGAACGGCATAATCTGAAAATGGGTTATAATAATAACCTTTAGTTTAAGAGGGTGACACCGATTACTTTGAAAATATTCTCCCTAGTGGCCCTCTAAAACACCCACCCATCCCACCCCAGGGGAGGACATCCATCACACAGTAATCTCATGTGTGGGAAAGAACTTCTCCTACCCCAACCCTGCGGGAGACGGGACCTCCATTTATTCGTCCCTATTCGAGAAGACTAGAATATCTAACCATTTCTTGATGTTATAGAAAGGTGGCAAATTCTTCTCAATTATTTTAAGACCGTGGGTGTTGTTCCGGCTGGGCTCGAACCCTCGACCTCCCGCACAACAGTCCAGCGCTCTATAATAACCTCAGTAGGTGTTGTATAGCGGTACTTTCAGTGTTCCCGAAGGATGAGTTAACTAAATAACCACAAACACAGCGATTAAACATCTGCACATGTGCCGACGTTGTAATAACCAAGTGACGTGACAAAATGACCAAGTTGTCGCACACGCGTTACAAAAATCAGACCAGCCAATAAGTCACGGTCTATTAAAAGCGTATAAATTTTTTGGTGAATCATAAAACAAAATGGTAAATCAACAGGAGACTCGTATTTGATTAAGGTTTGTGTTCGAACAAACTTGATTTTTCCTCCTCCTAAACTTTAATTCCTTTTACAGATCTCTATGAAAGTTTCAATTTTTTCGCTTATTTTGCGAGAAAGTGGCTGTTTGTAATGTTTTTGAAATTTTGGGCGTGAAGTTGGCGAGCGTCCGACCGAAATTGACCCCTTCGCGCATGCCTGACGTATGAAGCTGTGTTATATGAATATGCTTACTAATAAAATGTATTATGGTAGAGATACGAATGATCTTCTAGCTGAGATACATGACTTAAACCATTGTCCAACTTACAATTGTGGCAGACTGAAGACTTACCAAGCGTGTCAAGTCCTGCTTCACTGTAGTATTCAACTTCGTTACCCATAGTTGACCAGAATAAAAGGCAAAGGAGGATGATATAAGACATCGTGTGGTTCACGAACTTAGAGAAGGGAGATTCATAGAGGGAATGAACCCATTCAAAAACTTCTTGAACACATCTTTGACAGTGATTATTGCTCAAGAAGCACGCACTGTTGGACTTGCTAGGGCAAACCTTTCCAATAAGGCGTAATAGAATGTAGATGGGGGCAATGATCGTCGAGAGAAGAAAATGAACGAACCATCGAATGGTTTTTTCCACCCAGCTTTTACTTTTCCAATCTGGCCATCCTTCGAAAGTTACCAGGTTAAGAATGAATTGACATCTAGGACCTGCCACGAACTGTAAATATTACAATAAATTAGTGAACATTTACGGAGCAATAGGGAACATAATTTTTTTTTACCAACTTTCAGGTCTTTTGCTTTATCTTCTTAGCATGTAAGAAAATTGTTCGCTTTTTAGTTTTACAAAGGTTTGCTTCGCCGATGCCGCATCAGAAGGAGCTAGTTGTCTTTAACTTCGGCGGATTAGGATCAAATCGAACTAATTCTAAGAAATCTCGTACTTTTCAGCTGAAATATCAGTTTTATTGCACGTTGTGAAGTCTCTTTTTACGGGCTTGAGGACTTCCGGATCCCTCATTATTACACGTAGTCTTATGCAAAAGCTGATAAAAAAACATACCTTCTTTCTTCCCTTGTTGGCAGCGATCTTCAGAAGGCTTAGGCTTTGTTTGTGTTTCATGACTCGTCGCGGTTTGTGTGTCGTGACTCGTCGCGGTTTCTCATCTAGTACAGAATCGTCTCCCTCGGCATTCATGATCTCGTAAAACTGATCCAAGGTACTTTCTTCAAGAACATCAGTAGCAAATGTTTCGTACGCCTTAACTGATGATTTATATACATCTTGCTCGTGCCAGGCTATTTTCTCCAACTGGTAAGAATCCTCTAGAGCATTTTCAATGACATCTTCAACATCTTCATTCTTGTCCGTGTGGCAGCTCCTCCAAAGCCATTCCACACCAATGAACAGCGGGTTAGAGAGTATTTTTATCCATCTTCGCTTCCTTGCGTTGTTTTTCTGATCATCCTCTGCATCTGACCTGACCACACTGCACGATTTTCGGTCGGACCTGCAAAAAACTCTAAATGATTTAGAATTTTCGGGGCTGTTCTTCTCCAGGTTGGCGATGTCTTGGTATAAACTTGTCTTGGAAAGAATAGAATGTTTCTTTTTAACCAGTTCCCACACTTCTAAAGCCTCATTTCTTTCCAAGGCTCCGAGGAGCTCCTCAGCCAACAGATCCTCTGCACTGGTTGCCTCTTCGTCGTCTATCTCTACTTTATTAGCATATTCTTCCTCCTCGATGTTCCGCAATAAGTCTGTCAGGTCTACGCGACAGTTCAACGTCTCCAAAGGAACATCTCCTGTAGAACCCCCCTGCTCCATATTTAAGCTTCTGCAGATCGAAGAGACTGTGAAAAGATATTTGGAAGTTTTATTGCCACATTGATGTCTAATGGCAAAGGGAATATGAGGCGGAAACAAAGAACGAAAAAAAAAAAAACAGGAAATTTTATGCAGTAAGGCAACTAAATCGACCAACTCTGGGTAAACACCATGGAGAATACAACGGCTGATTCTCATTTTCTTCATTATAATAATTGTTTTTGTCATAGGCATGAGCATAATGCACAGAGTTCTAAATGAAGTCAAACCTATAATTTTCAGATAAGTATTTTGAAAGGTCAGGCTCATCTTCAGTTAAATCAAAATCATGTAACGTTAGTTATGAACTCAAGACAATCCTCGATTCTTTATTTGTGCTCTGAGGTCATGTAGAGAGCACTTCTTTATCTAAACGACAAGAATGGAGCGTCGAATTTTCTCAAGGTTCCAAACCCAGATGCATTTGGTATTACCTTTATGCATTTATCCACTTTCAGGCGACCAGAACGAATCTCAAACACTCCCTCCTTATCACGATTGATCCGGGTCATTCAGTAACTCGTTTCATTTCCTCTGAACCACCCTGACCCCTAACTATTATCATGTTTTATAACATCGCAGACAGTGCCCGTCGGCAATATGAAGTGAATCCTGCAGTTCTTTGACTAGCTTTGGGCAAGATAAACTCATCTTTCCTGTTAAAGTTTGCCCGATTTGATCCCGCGCAAGTCAAAGAAATGTTATGAGAGAATTTTACAGAGTATTTAGACAATGTTGGTTATTGGGTCGCAATAGCGGTAGAAGAAATTCAAAAGAAAGAAACATATTATTGTACTACAAACATAGTTTGCTTTCTGTCACGGTTCTCGAAATAAACAATCAGTCTTGATTCTTAATGAAGCTAAATGCTCGTAGAATATATACGACCACTACATTCCGGCAATGTGTGGCGTATTTTAGTATTGAGCAACGATGTCGCGATTCCCGCCTTTGGAAAGTTTACTGAATGAACTTAGTTTGTTCGTTGTTTGGAATGAAAAAAAAAAAAAAAAGGGAAATTAATCGTTAGCTCGAAGATATGAATGTTATGTTCTCATGGTAACAATTTCTTACGAGTGAGCACAGGACCGGAACTCTTGAGATATTTGTTAATTATACTAAATAAACCATTGTCATATGTAGTTCTATCAAGGATTACGATACCGTTCCCTTTGTCGGGTTTCAAAATGACTATGTCCCTGTTCTTTCGGAGATTCCTTAAAATACTGTGTTTTTTCAGATTTGCAGTGGTAGGTCTATACTAGGATATGTAGCAAGGGGCAAGATGCGAAAGATCAGCAACTATTTTGCCGGTGTTGGAGGTGTCAATAAGATGTCTTTTCATCGTGTGGCTAATCAGTTCGAAGCAAGCAAAAATATCAGTCTTGCTAATGGTAGGAGGATAAATCGAGTGCGTTAGACCAAACTTGAGTGCTTCCGATTGATCTGGGGTGAGGTTGTGACCAGAGAGTTTCGTGATGGTTTCTTTCGAATTGAAGAGATATTGTTCTTCAGCGTCACGTGACAATAAAATTTACATCCGCTTCTCGATCCTCTATAGATCAGCATCATTAACAATGTTTTCATTTCAACAAAGAAATCTCAGTAAAGAAGCATGTGAATGAATACAGAGTTTCATAATAATCTACGCCTTCGTTAACGTATGAGACCCTGAACATAAATAGTTTTTGCAAATGAAATGTGTGCCACGGATTCATCCGCCTGACCACTGGCAAAAACACATACATACATTTTCCGAATGCGTTAACTGTGTTCATGCTATGGTGGAGAGACACTGATTATACTTGTCATCAACCAGCATACCAAACTTGGTCCCTAAATAAAAAGCAGAGTGAAATATAAACTTTGTTAGTTATCCACACGTAAAAATTGTTCTGAGTGTAAATAGTTAACGATCAGCAGGTCTCGCGTGCCATTTCAAAATCTGCGGTTTAGCCTTTTTCTGTTATCCGTCAAAAGATAATTATCCTCTAAGTAATGTATTAACTACGCCACCGCAGCCTGGAAGTTATCGCTTCAATTCAAGTTAAATTCACTTAAATGAAGTCAGGGAAAAACTGCATTCTAGCTAATCGAGGAAGGAGGGGAAAACAGCATCGTAGCTAATCGAGGAAGGAGGGGAAAAAAGCTCAAGCTTTGTTTTATGAGCGCAAGAGAACGGTTTTTAGGGCGTACGGTTCTAATGAGTTGTCGACATCTCGGACGGATCAGCGATCCCTGAATATTTAGACCGCCACCCATTAGACTATGGACTCTAATTCACAGGCACCTTGACTGTCTGTAGTTTGTTAGAACATTATTTACCGATATCATACTTCATTGTGTTGCTTCAAATTTGTCTGTATATTTGCCGAATCAACTCCGAAACATAATGTTTTAGCCTTCCGTTGAAACAATTTTTTGGGCTATTAACCCTGATCATGAAGAGCTCTATAAAGGCGCTGACGCAGATTAGCTTATATTGAAACAATGTATCATTTCCTATCAGAGAGGTGGGAGGTTTCATTATACATTGTGAAAGAGCAGCTTCATAAGAGCTTTTAAAGGCATTGATGCAAATCGCTTGTTAAATCAATGTATCGTTTCCTATCATAGAGGAGGTTCCATTACTTTATAAAAGAACAGCTTCAAAAGAGCTTTTCAAAGAAGCTGATGCAAATTCGCCTATTAAAACAATGTGTCGTTTGTTATCACAGAGGGGGTTCAGTTACATTATTAAAGAGCAGCTTCAAGGTTGTTCTACCACTTCGAATAGGAGTAATCATGAGAATCCATTGCTTTTATAAACAACCAATCAATCACAATTCGCTTATCAAGAAGCCATGATTACGAAAAATTCTAAGGTACGTAGAAATCATCAGAGATACAATCTCGGTTCAAACGCTTAGCCTACTTCATTCAGTGGAGGGTTCCCTTTTCGCCTGTAAAACATCCAAAGACTTATTACAACTTTTTTCTCATGTCTTCTCCTCACGCTTCATGTGAAGACTTTAAACTTCCCTCAAAGGAAGAATTACTCTTCAAAATTAAAGGATTTTTCAGGTGTCTCAAACAAAGAAAGCTGGATAATAATAACATGCAATTGATGATCTATTGGCCTTGAAAGGTGTACGTGCTTGTTAAATTCAGGATGACAGCTTTATATGAATAATTTGAAAATTTTCCATAATTAAATAGTGAGCCTTGTCATCCGGTCACGTACATTTAGTCAGACGGAAGGTGAAGGTCAAACTATACGATAGTATTGGTGCTGTATTATTATCCGTAAACCTTTTGCTAAATACCAATTTGATAATATGGAAAATTAAAATAATTCTGATTATTTATTCCAAACATGTTGTGTGCTCGAATATCCATCAGTATTTAGAGGGATGGTCTTTTTTTTTTTTAAACGCACTCTTCTGTGTGGTTGAGATAATCACCGTCAGATTTACGCATTTCGTCGATTGTGTAAATTATACTTTGTGCCGTGTTGCGCGTAGTCATTTGGTCGATTGTAAAAATTACTCTATCTATTGTACGGACTACCTGCCATCTGCACCACATTGAAACCCGTGCATAGGCATTTATAGATTATGCTTGTAAAGTGGCATATTATGCTAGTAGCATTGCCTTTTTTTTGGCCAAATTATGTTAACATTATGCTCTTTTTTCCAAATTATGCCACCTTTTTTTTTAAATTATGCTCTTTGAAAAAATGCAAATAAGTCCAAAATATATATTTTTTAACTAGAAGCCGTTCGTCTAATGGAAAGAAACGCAACAAATCCACAATTAATTTCAAATAAACATGTGGTTCAGGTTAGACCCGGGCTCAGTGCTTCACAGTGAACTACAAATGCTACTAGTTTAACTAAAACTTTAAATATCGATTAAGGTCACCAAGTGCTTGGGACTAGAAACGAAAAATTATCAAATAATGGCATCAAAAATGATCTGATAATTATCAATTGCAACCACCCCTATTAGCATTGCTACTTGGCAGAAATTATGCCAGTTTGCTCGAATTATGCCAAAAATTATGCTAGCATAATTTATAAATGCCTACCCGTGCATCGATCCCTTTACTTACAATTGGCGGCTGCAACGGTTTGTAGTGATCGTAAATTTCGTTTCTCGTTGTAATAAGGTCCCGATGGCTTGAATCTTGCGTCTTCACTGACGGGATTTGTTAAATTGGTCCGTGTTTTTAATCGTCGAAAGGAAGAATGCGCATGCAGATGATGACGTATTTACCAGCAGCTACTTGGGTGACATAAATTTATCAAAATTAAGCGCCGTAGTTTTTGACAAGCGATCATTTTTCCGCATTGAAAGTCACTTTGCCAGTAGGAGCCTCTTCACGCTTTCGATCACAATGACAGCATAAACAATAGACTTTACACAGCGGAAGTTGAATTCGCGTTCATGATTATCCAAACAATAAATATGTAAACGAAACTAAATTAGCGCAGTTTCTCGACGTAGAGTTCACATATCACTACCGGATAGCTATTAGACTGTGAAACTAAAAAAGGTTTGGTTTTACTTGCCTAACACCCCCGGGATTTTCTTCAGTTTTATCCATTGTTTGTCTCTCAGTGTCTTCCAAAAACTCTTCATCATATGCAATTTGGCATCGGTTGCATTAGAGCCCGCGTAGCAAATTTTTGAATGAGGGCGGGCGAGGAGGGGGGAGGGAGGGCTGAAGACGAAAGCTCAATTTTGAACTAACTAGCTGAGGGAGGGTGAGATATGTTTTGTTTAACACCTTCAGGTCACGCAAAATCGTTTCGCATCAAGCCATAGGCTAACAAACTCAACCATTCAATACGCCGTCAGCCCCAACGTTGTTATTTTTCATGTTATTCTAAGCAATTCAATGTTTAGTTAACGCGTTTGGATCTCTGCAAAGCCATTTGACGCAGCGCCACACAGTTTGTGTTTACGCTGAAGCATTCGACGTTTGAATGATCTATTTTACGCACCGCCAGATCGTTTGTGTTTATGCTGTTTCATTCGACTTTTGAAGGATCTATTTCACTCAACGCTACACCGGTACACCGTTTCTGTTTAATCTGAACCATTGCATATTGCGGAGGGGGACAGGGGTGCGGGAGTCTGGGAGAACAGGGGGCTGGAGAGGGCGGAAAGCGAGATCTATGTAAGGGCGAGAGGCAGGAGCAGAAGTTAATTAAACGCTCGGTTGTTGTCCATTACCACTTACTTCCGAGCATCGACTGGTCTACTAATTCTGTTCTCCGTGATACTGAGAAGACATTAAACTTACCTCAACGGAAGAATTACTCTTCAAAATTGGAGAATTTTTCAGGTGTCTCAAATACAGAAAGCTGGACAATAATAACATGCAATAGAGGATTTATTGGCATTGAAAAGTGTAGGTACTTGTAAAATTTCAGGAAGATAGCTTTACAGGAATAGTTTAAAAATTCCGATAATTAAATACTGAGCCTTGTCATCCGGTCACGTTCATTTAGTTAGACGCAAGGTGAAGGTTAAACTGTACGATACTATTGGTGCTTTATGATTATCCGTTGAACCTTTTGCCAAGTACTAATTTGGTAATATGGAAAATAATAATAAAATAATTCTGATTATTTATTCCAAACATGTCGTGTGCTCGAATATAGAGGGATGGTCTTTTTTTTTTTAACGCACTCTTCTATGCGGTTGAGATAATCACCGTCAGATTTATGTATTCCGTCGATTGTGTAAATTATACTTTATGCCATGTTCCACGCAGTCATTTGGTCGGTTGTAAAAATTACTCATCTATTGTACGTCTGCCCGCTACATTACATTGAAACCCGTGCATCACACAGGAAAGCTTCTCGAGCGTCTCGTTCGTAGGAGCGTTGACCCAATCGAAAATTACTATCTCAGAGAAAAGGTTTACAAAAAGTCAGACCGTGAGGTTCGTTTCGGATGCAATAAGAAGTGCAAAGATCATTACATTGTCCTCAACTTTGCTTTGATCCTTCAAACTTCAACTCCTCCCACAATCGTATGATGAACATGTACAAATTGAACGTTAAAAAAAAAAATACAAAACAAACGTATCTGTTGTAGCGACGTACCAAGCTTATACACTTTTCTTTTTATCAGAACCTTTTTTTTCAAGAGCGTTCATGTTGAGATGAACCAAAATTTTAAGAACAAAGTAAGAACATACTCAGTAGGCTGAGAGTCAGTTAGGAGCGGCTCTTTTTTTTAATCTTGATGAGAAGTATAAACTAAGGTAAAAGAAATGTAAAACTGTGGTCTAACAGGACAATGAACCCAAATACTTGGAGAAATTTTTAAAAATTAACTTTGTGTTTATTGCACGATACTTTGCGGAACAACTCGGTTTGTAGTCAAGCTTAGTCTGGTCACGTCCGAATTGATTAATTACCGCACAACTTTAAGACCGTGTTGAGAACGTTTTCAGGCTCAATCGCGGATAAAGTTTAGCCTCGGTACCAAAATAAGACGTTCTTATGAAAAGAAGGAGAGTGTATACCTTATTCCATTTTCAAGAATATATGTCGATCCCTTACCGTGATTGGCGGCTGCAACGGTTTGAAGTGATCGTAAATTTCATTTCATGTTGTAATAAGGTCCCGATGGCTTGAATCTTGCGTTTTCATCGACAGGATTTGATAAATTTGGCCCGTGTTTTCAATCGTCCAAAGGAAGAATGTGCATGCATGCTGTCGATCACGTATTTACCAGCAGATACTTGGGTGACGTGAATCATAAAAAGCGCCGTAGTTTTTGACACGCGATCATTTTTCCGCATTGAAAGTCACTTTGCCAGCATTATTTATCGAAAAATTGCGGGCGCCTCTTCACGTTTTCGATCATAATGACAGCACAAACAATAGACTTTACACAAGAAACCGCTCAGCGGAAGTTGAATTCGCGTTCCTGATAATCCAAATTATACATACCTAAACAAAACTATTTTATTATTTACCAAAACAAGGAAAGCCCCCTAATGGTGGGCTGCGTGTGGTCCAAGGTTAACGACAAGTGACATTAGGGACGAGCGCACATGATCAGGGCAGAGTTAATGAGTAACTAACAGACGCCCTTTATTATTCTTCCATTGGACGGCATGCAGTGGTTATATCATCTATTGCAACCACCCCTATTGTTTTAATTTTTCTCTTCGGGAAGCGAGTGTTCAATTTATCAAGCTACAGGCTGTATTTTTCTCGCTACATTAGTATATAATGCTCATTGAAGTGAGTGGAGTGCAGTTTGTATAGGTAATCACATGATTTCGAGTGCAATTTGGAATAAATAAACACGAGTAAATTTTTTCAAAGACTAACAAAATTGCATGAGCCCGTAGGGCGAGTGCAATTTGTGGTCTGAAAAAATTTACAAAAGCTTATTTATTCCAAATTGCACGAGAAAATCATGTGATTATCTCTTAATGAAAAAAAATACGAGGTAGCTACTCATAACTACGCAGAAGAATAGTGTGCGCATCACGTGCAAAATAATTTATTCAAACCCTGCAATTGAGATTGACCTTGACATTGACTTTGACGTTGACCAATCATTCTGACCAATCAGAATGTCTGGTTTGTTTCTTTCTTTGCACTGAGCTAACCCTCTTCTGCACTGAATTAACTCTCTTCTGCACTGAATTAACTGAAAACTGCATTCATCTTAACCAATCAGAACTGAGAAACATGTATATTATTAGGTATGTAATAACATGATTTTGAGTGCAATTTGGGGTTAATAAGCATGAGTAAATTATAGATTAGGGAGACTAGAAGGCCGAAGGTATCACTTACTTCATAGTTTAGTCTAGATTTTGGTCCAATATTTTAAAACTGGAGGCTGCTTACCTGAAAACAGCCGAAGTGTTTCAATTTGCGAGTAGCTCAGATGCTGTGCTTCGATTCTTCGCAATATTAATATATTCACTTACTAATCGGATTTCTCTTAAAATTTAATCTTCGAAAACGAGGGGAACTTTTAGCAAAAAAGGTATAGCATTGGAAAGAGAGGGGAAAGGAGAGCAGGTGTGAAAATAAGAAAAACCGGCTGTAGCATTTACAATCGGCTCCCAGAAACCTTGATTATGAAAAGTTGGTGGCCATTG